CCCCTGTCTTCTAAACCAAGACACATGAGAACAGGCAGACTAGAAAAGCCATTAGACACTTGGCTTCTTTGCATGCATATGACCACCTGTCCACTTTATCAGCTCTTTGAAAGGTTGTTGGTTTTTGTTTTTTTCTTCCAGCAACCAAAGCTCCACTTTCCCCAAAAAGCAGGTGAAACTTGGCATTACTTGAAAACAAATAGACAACTTTTTCTGGTATTTAGAACCATAGTTTGATTGTCAGGTTTGTCAAAGTTTAAGAATTGAGTTGGGAAGTAAGGTAATGTCTAGTAAATTCATGACTGAAGTGATCTCCGCAGTGAAGTACAGCAATTTTTACCGTTTCACTTACAGATTTTTCAACAGATGAACTGCCGATGCTAACTGTGAAAGTATCAGCGCTAACTATAGTTTTGCAACTATGTTCACTTTCCGGAAAGTATAGTCAGGTTTTTAAACCTCACTCCAGATTATATTGTCAGTCTACAATAACATAGAAATAAGTTACTGAGATAATTAGATTAGTAAACTATAGATTAAGCTTAGTTGCACTACACGAAGACATAATAAAGCAGAAGATACTAAATAAACATACTTTTATACTCGTTCACATGATTATGCAACGGTGAAAATGAATGACCATTTTAAAGAGTAACACCCGGAGAACCTTAGCACTTTACTCCTCGAAGTTTAGATGTTAATAGGACAAAAGAAATTAAATGCAATCTACTACTTGCTCAGTTGGCTGACTTAGCAATGGGCTAGAAACCATGAAGTGAAACTGAGTGAATCCTGGAATTTTATTACATGCAGCACCTAGGAAAGAGAAACAGAAAGAAAAAAAAGTATGATTTGCTACATATAGTATTAGTGTCTCTGTCATTTGCTCTAAATACTCAGTTGGTAATTATTCTTTTACAATCTGTTTAAGCCAAGACAGCTTGAAAGTATTTAATTTTTAAGTAAAAATACAGTGCTACTGACTGCCGTAGTGCAATTAATGCCCTTATAATACAACTCAAAACAGTAACAGTAAGTTAGGAAAATATCTCTCTTTCAATCTTGATTAACTTAATGAGTCCCTCCAACACTAATCTCTTAAACACAGAACTATGGGAAATAAGAGATCAAAGAACAGCAATAAGCAGTCTAACTAAATAAGCCACGTTGATTAGCAAATTGTATCTCCTACTGATCTAAGAGTTCGCTAACGAGATGCCTGGCACAACGACTGATCTTGGATTGCTTTGAAGCTATGCTTAACAGTCACATTCTCCCTGCCTTGAGGCATAAGCATTCTTTTAAAAAAGCTTCAAACTAATCATACACAGCCCAGGAAAACACATGAAGGCTGTAAATATTTTTGATTTTTACTAAGACTTGCATAAATTCTGTGAAAGTCTAAGACATCAAAATGCAGACGAAAAATTAAAATATCTCAAGTCCACACTAGGACACAGTTGCCCCACTAACCAGCATTTGCCAGTTGTTCTGCAGAGTTCAAAGAATAATTGAAGACTTCTGTTTTAAATGCCACCATTAGTTTAGTATTTCTGTGACCTCCTTAGGGTCAACAAACTATGTCTGTTAAACAAAATACATACCATAACTTCCAGTTGTATTGGCACATATAACCGCGCCAAAGAACTTCGGAGCATACTTCTGGATTCTGGAAATAACTTTCTGACAGGCAACTGTTGGGTCTGTTCCCATCCTCATATACTCCACAGCCTGGTAACTTAAAAAAAACCCAAAACTGTTACCACACCCAGACAGCCGTAGTCAGGTTTTATTTTCTAAAATGCCTTTTAGACACCTTAATTTGTTTTAACAATGGCAATACGTGATAAAGAATCTTTAGCTAAACTTCTTATCGACAATTATTACTTTCTACATGAAAAGTAATTAGAAACAGGACTAAAAGAAACTGCAAGATGTCATCTATGCCATCGATTTGTCTATGGCAGGACCAAGCCTGGGATAATTCTCTCATCATTTGCAGTACAAGAGGCTAAGCAACAGATCAGTTGAAGAACTGCAAAAAAAGCAGTCAAAGAGTTAGCAGCTTTTATTTTTCATTGTATGATTTGACATTAAAAGTTATTACTAGTTTTCAAAAAGGCCAATGTCAAGATAACTTTTTTTAAGAGAACTGATCTCCAATATTACATTACTGTTAAGTTATTGATTTCAGTAATCTTTCAGAGAAAACTTAGTTTCTCGAAACCTCAAAACTGACACATTTTCTTTATTTCATAAGTATGAAGATGTGCTGGTTTTGGTTGGGGTAGAGTTAATTTTCTTCACAGCAGCTAGCATGGTTTGGATGTGTGCTGGAAACAGTGTTGATAACTGAAGGATGTTTTAGTCAGTGCTGAGCAGTGCTCACAAGAGAGTCAAGGCTTCTTCTGCTTCTCACCACACCAGCAAGAAGGCTGGGGGCACACAAGGAATTGGGAGGGAATACAGCCAGGAGAGCTGACCCCAACTGACCAAAGGGATATCCCAGCCCATATGGCATCATGCTCAGCATATAAAGCTGGAGAAAGAAGAAGGAAGCGGGGACATTCAGAGCGATGTCATTTGTCTTCCCAAGTTACCATTATGCATGTTGGAGGCCTGCTTTCCTGGGCATGGCTGAACACCTGCCTGCTCATGGGAAGTGGTGAATGTGTTTTGCTCTGCTTGTGTGCACAGCTTTTGATTTACCTATTAAACTGTCTTTACCTTAACCCACAAGTTTTCTTACTTTTGCCCTTCTGATTCTCTCCCCAGTCCCACTGGGACTGAGAGAGTGAGTGGCTGGGGAAGGAGGGGGTTAGTTGCCAGGTGGGGTTAAACCACAGCATTTTGATCAAGACTGTGAGCCACTTTCAAAGTTTTTGCAAGCCAATTTGAAAAAAGTAATTCATATTCTAGATGAAAGGGTAAGCAAAATGAACTTCCTTTGTATCTACAGTATCATTAGACAAATGACTGTATGAGCATTGCTTGAGATGAATTGGTTGCATTTCCAAAATGTCCTCAGAGGCAAAAAAATAACTTTTGTTGTTTATCTTTCAGAACTTGAAGATTAAAAGATAACACAAGCAAACAACACTAGATTGTTTTGATGAATGATACATATACCAAGACCAACTCTTGTTACATTAAGACTCATCTAGAGACAGCCTGAACTATAGATGTTATCAAAGTACCGCAGAATGAACTTCCCTTGCAGTTTGAGACTCCTTATTATCTTTGATTTATTTTAAAAATCAAATAGGTTCAAGTTATTTAAAGATAACCATCTGAATATAAAGCTATGTTTCACAGGGGTCTCTTCACTAATGAAAAACTCAGTAAGATGTTACTATATCAAAGAAGGCAGACAGAAAATATTAGTAATTTTGGTTTTTATTTGACACCTCCTTCACTTCTGACAAGTCATTTCTCTTCTTTGTTTTCATGTGAGAATATTTAAGTAAGATGAATTAGGAAAGATCTGCATCTACAAGGAACCTGTAATTAACCACCTAGTCTGAGCTGTTTTCTAAAACCCAGCAATGCCAACACAAAATGTTTCAAGAACTGGAGCCAAATCCTTCAGGCTGCTAAACTGTAAGATTTTATTGATTAACCTCATTGTGGAGCTCAACTCACTACTACTGTTGGTATCTGATACCTCAGGATAATTCATGAAGTTGCCAATTGCCTTTTATTTCAAGGCCAGACTGGAACAGCTTGAAACTCATGGAGGACATTTGTAAACACGCAACAGCTAGTAGGCATTCATAACTGCCAGAGCTTCAGAAAAAGCACCCAAACAATATGAAGGCCACTGTTATATATTCCTTCAAGCACCAGTGCCCATTATGTTCAGCACAGGCTTCCATAACTCATTTCTGCTGAGGCTGACCCACAAGAATGACTGGCAAGACTCAGCGATGAAAACAGCCGTATTTTATGCAGGTTTTGCAACCATGACAACAGCACTAAAACTCCTCTTCCAGTTTCAAATCGGATGCAACCACATAGGATTGTTACAGCAACACCTCCCCACCCTCCTGAGTAACCTCGAGGCTCACCCCTCACCCCTTCTACAATTTATAACACTTATTTCTCACATAACAAAACACTTCAGAGGAGAAAGCTAATCAGTTCTGTTAAAATGCATGCAGGCTGGGAATATACTTATTACATGCTGCTTGTATGCTCACAGCTTGGCAGTATTAAGGGGATCTGTCATCAAGGTATTTAAGAAGTCACTTCTTTTAAGACAGACCACAAAGATTACTTGATTCTGCTACTGTTTTTACTCTTTCTGTTCCTTCGTTTACTCCCACTTCAGCAGCCAGTATGTCAGACTGCCTTTTTAATCAATTACTTCATTTGCCAAGTTCACATTTTGCTAAAGAAAGCCAGCAAAGGACCAACCTGGGTAAGAAGCGCATCATGATGTCACCATCCCCAGTGGCTGCAGCTCCTCCAGCTGTACTATCCGCATAGGATCCTGCTCCAGCTATGGGAGAATCTCCTACACGGCTATAGTGAACAATGGGAATAAACATAAGAACTGGAAATGACAGAAAACTAAAATTTCTTAATCCCCATGAGACTGCACTAAGGTAATAGCTCTTGGCCTGATATTGGCAAGTTCTTATGACTTGAGCTCACTTTTAACTTTGTCAACCTTACTGCCTCCAGCTGGGTTAGCATTATACCCACAGGAGAACAGAACAGGTAAAGAGGTCACTCCACTGCAGTCAGAAGTCTTGTCTTAAAACTACCAATAAAATGATCTGTGATAACCTGACTGACCTGAGGCTTTTATCCACCTCCAATGCACAACTGCTTGTTATTATACTGACATAGCTGGGGCAGTAAGGTTTAGCCAGTGGGCAACAGTAAGTGGCTGGGGACATTAGTATGTCCAACTTGTTCTGAAATCCAGAAGCTGTCTGACTGGTTTCACAGACAAGATTCCTAACCAGGCAGAAAAAGATCTCAAGGACAAAATACAGGCCTGGGGCTCTGATTCTATGTACACTGCTTTGGAGACTGCGCACCTCTCCGGAGTGCTCACTCATCTCTGGCACCTCTCCTTACAAGTTGACTCCTAACTGTGTGTGCCAGTTGTTTGTGTCTCTGTATGGTGAATTAAACCAGCTGAAAAATAAACATTCCCTCACAGACAAAGCATCTTGTAACTGTATTAACATTTACAGCAGTTCCCCAAAACAAGTATTCTGTAACCACCACAATCGAAACCATAAAACACAGGAAATGAGATGGGGAAAAAAACCTTTTCGTTATCAAAACAGAGATACTAACCCTGGAATTTTGTGGATGGCACCATTAGTAGATGTCCCAGAAGCAACAGTTCCACTCTCACCAATTACAACCATACCTAAAATTTTTAGTAGGGATTAAACATATTCAGAAACATTCCTAAAATTAGCACTACAGTTATCAAACAGAACTACGATACTCAGACTATTGAAATTACTACTAACCTGAAACAGAGAGAAGTTGTACTCTCCAAAAAAATAAGTTCATTGTACAACCAGTTTGGAAACTTTTTGGGTGTATTACAAGAGCACAGAACAGAAACTACAACAGTGAGTACCACAGTGTTTAGAGCTGTCTGTTACTGCTGCCCAAGCAGCCACTTTCTCCTGATACACACCTACGTTAACCAGTACACAGCAAGTACCTGGTGTCTGCACCAGCATCATCAGAACAAATGCCTCATAGAATTTAAAGAAAAGTCAGAAGGATGAGCTTAAATTTGGCAGAAGGTGAAATACTGCCTAATAAAGTAACAAGAATTACATGACAGGCAATCAAATGTGTGGACGAGCCCACCCCTTGGTAAATTTGTGCTACTAAGGAAGCCACCTTCTCATTAGAGAAGCTGAGATTGGCATTTGGATTTGGCTGATTTGGGATCAGCTGCTTCTCCATAAAGTAAGAATTTTTCTCTTTAAGAAAAGGTAGAAATTGCAGCTGGCATCAAACCCCAGTACACAGTGAGAGACAAGAAGCAGAATTCAAATTCTCTGATCTCACTAAGCAGTACCTCCTCACAGAAGTTTCCTGACCAGTAGCAGGTAAAAGCATAGAGGCACTGACTCTACAGCCACCATTAGCTTCTCCAAAACGCCTAGAGGCATATCAGTTCCTACCAACTTCCTAGATGAATTCTGAATGAAGACTCTTCTCTAAATGTATTAGTCAAGGAAGTATCTCATATGTAAAACAAACAACGGGGTGGGAGAACGTGAAGTGCAAATATAAACAACATCATTCTATAAAACAGCTTAGGAATACTTAATGATATACCGATTACTGAATTGTATTTAGCAGTTTTGACTCTCATCCTAACACTTCACAGTTTATGAGTTTTCTAGAACATAATGAAAACTGTATATCCCAGTAAAGAAAGCTACCTACCAACTTAAGTACTAGGTAGTTGACTGACATCTGTACAACATTATTTGGTTATTAGTAGAATAGACTGGAAGCAAAGAAGGAAGATTCCACTTGATACAACTAGTTGATTCTTGGTAAAGCAAATACTGTCAGGCAAAAAGTTCTGAAGTGCTGAACTGAGAAAAATTCAGGCTAAACCAAAAAAGCGTAAGTTTCAAGACTACAAAGTATAAAACTTTGAAAGACAGGAATAAAACTTTGAAAGACAGGAATCTGTAACTACTTCAGTCCTTTGTCTGATCTGCTCATTAATCAGCTTATAGGTTTAGCAATTAACAGTCCTCAAACAGCAAGCTCTCAGAAAACTTTGGGGACTACTACTGCCAGCCCGTAGTTTCTGTAGAAATTTATTGATTTAGTCAAAAGCCAGAATAGAAGAAAAATGAAAGTAAGCTTTATTTTTAAGTTTAAGGACTGTTTGACAAACATTGCTTTTGCCTGGCAACAGGACTGTTTACTCGTTTCTTTCACCACTGCAAAGCCTTTTAAGTTGTTCTGATAGCTACAGAGGAGATTCAACCTAAGTTAACCATAAAAATAATTATTTTTAACCTTGATCAGTTTTCTACACATTCATAGCTGCCCAAGCAATTACACCAAGATATCTTAAGGAAAAGCAGTAGGGCGATGAAAAAATAGCTAAGGGCAAAAAATGAAGCAAGCGGCTGTGCAGTCAACGCACTGGAAAAAAACAAAACAAAACAAAACCAAAACAAATCCTACTTAATCCTAACACACAAGAAAGACAATCCTGAAATCACTCAGTATGAATCTGTAGAGGAATGAGGGCAAAAAGAAGCAGTTATCAAAGATTGTTACCAATAGTATCATGATTATGAATGCTTCTTTGTGAGATGGTCTGCTCTTCTCTGTAAGTTACTTTTTCAGGCCGTTTGTATGGTCCACAGGATTCTGAAGAGTCTGGTATCACATTCTGTAATTATTTTGTTATTTGCATGAATAATATATTATGCTTCATTACAGATAAACTTAACAATTCTATGGTTAATACCTATAAACCACTACATATATATCAAATGCCCAATACTTAAATTATACAGCTGTACTGAAATCCTGTAAGTTATTCCACTTAAGGAATAAAGACTGATTTCTGGTATCATATGGTAAAATTTTTCCTACTAGAAAGTTATGTTGTTCAAAGTAAACCTTCTCATGTTCAACTAACTGGTCAAAAAAAGTGCTTATTCTTCAGCAAAATGAAGAAAATTTTCAATCTAAATAAACAACCAGATGAACTGAGCTTGTTTTACTAATGTCAAGACACTACATTAAGACAGTATCATAGTCAAGGTATTTTCCCAATTGAAAATCAGAATACGTACTGAATTGAAATGATTCAACAATGCAGCACTTCATATCCACAAACAATGAACATGAAACACGTAGAAATGTGCAACACAAACTCCACCAAAAAACCCTAAGCAGCACCTCACCACAATAGGCAGGATTATCACAGACAACAGCACTAGTGATGTGTTCACAGGTCAGCATAAAGCCAGGACCTTAATTGCTACTGCAAATTTTCCTGCAGAAATGTATATAGGCATCCAAAAATATAGGCACTAGGTTTAGCTTGAGAAGTCCTACCCAAATTTAGGCTTAAAAAAAACCTCCAAACCCCACCAAAATGCTACTGCAGCAATGTCAAAACCAGCAGGATCTAACAAATAAGAGCTAGATATATACTCTTCCTGAGCCTACCAAATGCTTGGTAATTCCAAGTTTGTTCTGCTTAATAAGCAAAACGTTTTTTTTAATTCACGTGCACATTCAGAAGCACGACTTCAACATAAGGTGAAGGAAAAAGCAATGCCGCATTACCGACTTCCTAACCCCCCATTTCACCACCACTGTACTGTACCTTCCAGTAGTTTGGCTGACAGCTTTGATTAAGCCACTTCGAATACATGGAAAGAGATTTTTGGGTAGTTAAATCTTCGTATGGAAACCCCATTCTTACAGCAAACAAGGAGGCTTTAAAAGCAACAACAAAACCAATAATGTATTCACATTTTTATACATTTTTACGATAATACATTGATGTAATGTTATCCAGAAACCAAGAAACTGTGGAGATGAGAAATATTTCTTCAGAGCAGCATCAGCAGTGACGTACAACCGCAGTAGCAAACTCTCCTTTCACTGGCAATATCAAATTTCCTCAGTTCACTGTAAGTTAACACATACAAGTTTTAACACTGAAAGAAAAACACATTCAACTCTGTTAATCAACTGGACACAAACAACGTGGAGCAAGAGTGTCCTGGGCAGTGTGACACAGAAATACTTAAATAAGTGATACAAATTACAGTGTATTTTCCTCACAACACTAGTCTTTTATGAAATGCAAGTAAGATGGTGGCACAACATTTGCAACTAAACCACTGGTATTTTGCAGAAATCAATCCACCAGCTTACATCATATTACACTTTTTCCTTGCAGTTTTAAAAATGACTGCCTCCTTGTTTTCAAAATTAATATAGTATCTGACAAGGGAGCAAAAGAAATAACACACAACACGGAAGAAAGCTGCACTTCTAAAACTGCCTTTTAGAACTACGGAAAGGGCAAAGGGTAAAGATAAACTGTTCTCTCACCTTTCAGTAACAGATATTGTTGCTAGAGGGAGGTTGGATTAAATGATCTTTAAGGTCCCTTCCAGCTTAGGCCATTCTATGATTCTATAATTCAAATGCTTTAATAATTTGTATTACCAATCCTTGATAACAACATCACCGTAAGACACACCTGAACAAGCTTCTCCAGTCCAAGAACTAAGAAAAGCCTTCAATTATTTCTGGGCAGCTTTTCTGTGTTTTTCTTAAAAACAGACACAATTAAAGTTTCTGCACTCAGAGAAAAAGAACACTGACAGCTTCAGCTAAACAGATATTTATTACCCCATTTCTAGAACAGGCAGGCAGGTTTGTTAGTTTTGGTTTGATTTGTTTTTTGTGGTGGGGATTTCTTGGTTTTGATTGTGGTTTTGGGGTTTTATTTTGTGGGGTAGTTTTGTTTTATTTTTAGATAAAATCGTGCTTGCGCATATTTTCAGCCATTCTTTAACGACTTCTGATGCCTTGTTTCTATTCAAGTGAGCAGAGTTGGCCATTTTTACTCTCTGAACTTTTTACTTGGATTGGTCTAAGTACTGCTAGGACAAAAAGGGAAAAAGTTAGGCACACTTTCCTATCTGTTGGGAGACAAATCTAAAAATTTCTTCGTGAATGATAACCAAAGTAATCCTTTTTTTCCTCATCTGCAGCCATTCTGCACTGACTGTCCCTTGCCAGACACAGTTGTAGATTGATATACATGGGCTTTATTTCTAGTTTTCTAAGACTTGTTCTAAAGAAAGCACTTCTTTTAACAGCGTCAGAACTGATCAGCGTGGTTATCTGCTCAACAAAAGCTACACTAAGAGATGAAGTAGAAAACAGGAAACTGCAGGCTGAAGAGTTGGGCAGAGAGGAGCCTAATGAGGTTCCCCAAGGGCAAATGTAGGGTCCTGCACCTGGGGAGGAACACCCCCATGCATCAGGTTAGGGGTAGACCTGCTGGAAAGCAGCCCTGAGAAGGATCTTGGGAGTCCTGGTAGACAACCATGAGCCAGTAATGTGCCCTTGTGGCCAAGAAGGTCAAAGGCATTCCAGGCTGCATTAAGTGTGGCCAGTAGGTCAAAACAAGTCATCCTCCCTCTATTCTGCCCTAGTGAGGCCATATCTGGAATGCTGTGTCCAGTTCTGGGCTCCCCAGTTCAAGAGAGACAGGGAACTGCTGGAGAGTCCAGCAGAGGGCTGAGAAAGCTGGGAAAGGCTGAGAAAGCTGGGACTGTTTAGCCTGAAGAAGAATGAGAGACATTATGAATGTAGATATTATCAATGTCTACCAGTACCTAAAGGGTGGGTGTGAGGAGGATAGAGATGGTCTCTTTTCAGTAGTGCCCAGTGACAGGACAATGGGCAATGGGCACAAACTGGAACACAGAATTTCCATCTAAACATGATAAAAAAATTCTTTACCGTGAAGGTGACAAGGCACTGGGAAGTTGACAAAGCACTGGAACAGACTGCCCGGAGGGGTTGTGGAGTCTCCCGTGGAGATACTCAAAACCCGCCTGGATGCAATCCTGTGTGATGTGCTCTAGGCAATCCTGCTTTAGAGGCATGGCGTTGCACTAGATGATCTCTGGAGGTCCCTTCCAACTCCAACCACTCTGTGATTCTGTAATATTGTCTACCTTGCCTTTCATAAGGCTTTTGACACTGTCTCCCATAAGATCTTCAAAGAGAAGTTGAAGAAGTACTATCTCAGTGAACAGAGCGATCTGAACTGAGAACTGGCTGAAGGCCTTACCTCAGAGGGTGGTCATGAGCGGTATGAAGTCTAGTTGGAGCCAGTAATTAGTGGTATATCCCTGGGGTCAATACTGGGTCCAGTAATGTTCAATATCTTCATTAATGATCTGGATGATGGGGCAGAGTGTACTGGCCCTCAACAAGTTTTGCAGATGATCCAAAACTGTGAGGAGTGACTGAAGCACACGGGGCTTATGCTGTCATCTAGGGTGAGCTCAACAGGCTGGAGACCTTGGCTGGTAAGAACCTCATGCACTTCAGCAGAGAAGTGCAAAGCCCTGCATGTGGGGAGGAACAACCCCATGTACCACTGTGTGCTGGGGCTGCCCAGCAGGGAAATAGCTTGGCAGAAGATGACCTGGGTTGGTTGGGCAACCAGTTGAACATCAACCAGTAATGTGCTCTTGCAGCAACGGCAGATAACAGCATAGGAATGAGCTCCAGCACTAGGAGTGCTGCCAGCAGGTCAATGAAGGTGATCCTTCCCCTCTGCTCAGTACAAGAAAAGGCTTGGGGGGAGGTTCTCATCAGTGTATAAAAATACCTGACAGGACGGTGCAAAGACAATCAAGCCAGGCCCTTTTCAGCGGTGTCCAGTGACAGGATGCGAGGCAATGGGCACAAACTGAAACCCATACGGTTCCATCTGGACGGCAGGAAAAATTTCTACACGCTAAGGATGGCCAAGTTGCTCGGAGGTTGTGGAGTCCCTCAGATAGTCAAAAGCTGTTTGGACATGATCCCGGGCAATTGGCTCTAGGGGGATGTGCTTGAGCAGGAGAGTAATACCAGAAGACCTCAAGTCCCTGCCAACATGTTCTTCTTCCTTCTTTACGTACTAAAGGTTTAAAACATCTAAACTTCATTTTTTTTCAGTCAAAGTAAGCAGAAGTGCGAGGACTAATCAGGTGTCATGGCACTCTAACATATTCAATCAGTGGTTTTAACACTGAAAACAAAAATATCATGTTCCTTTCATTAACTGTGAGGAAAAATGTACTGGTCACATATTTAAAAATTATCAACTAAACAAAATTGATGCAAGCTGCAGCTTGCCTCCTCTTCTCTGCTGTCAAACAGTCATTTTAGGGGACAGGTAGATTTTCCTGATTATATCACTAAATATACTCAAATAAAAGTGCAGTTTAGTCCTTGGGGGGGGAAAAAAAAAAGGGAAAAACTTCAGGATTTTGCATCTTGACCAAAAAAAGCCTGCAGAGTTTATATGCATGTGTATGAAAAGGTTTTACTATCATAGCTTGCTTTCCTGGTGAACATGTAAATATTTTTCTTTAGAAAAGAAACTCTCATTTCTCTCACATGCTGATTTGAAAGTTCAAATACATACTTGTGAAACGATAGCTCTATTTTGGTTTTATTAGTCTTCACCTGCTAAAGACAACTATAATTTCCTTAACTCATGTTCGTATTTCCTCAGAAATCCATTCTTTCATAAGAAATACTACTATTTCTCAGTTTCTCTACTGCTTTGATTAATTCCTTAACATTTATTTCCATCTCAAATTTTTCAGCTTCTCCTCCTTTCTTTTGCCACTACTGCCAGACAGTTCATTCTGAGAAAGTTTTCACTGACAACAAGGACTCAGTGTAACAGCCTTGTCCACATGAATCAATTATGCAAAAAGCTATCTTGTTAGGCTGGGAAATATACTTTATATCAGCACTTTAATTCTTGTTTCTTCATCTTCTTTATCATTTCTGCTTGTTGTACCAATCAAAAGTTAAAAATATTTTGCTAACTATGAATGATTGAGAAAGGAGTATTACAACCATTTCTTCCTCCTCTATGTAACTCCAGGCTAATTCCTTTTTCAGCATCACCTGTGAAATCTTACCAAAGCCACTTGTAACCTAATCACAGTCATTCCCTCAAATTAAATAGAATCTGTAAATCTATCTCTCCCTTTTCAGACCTTCTGTCAAATACTGTCCTCACCTTCCGCTACTGCCTATTTTACTCCATCAAAAGCTGCTGTTGCACTTATTTCTCTATCATTCTGTACACATTAATTCCTTCAAGAATCTTTCATCTTTTCTTATCAATTTCAAAGCACTTGACATCTGAGTGTTAAGGGTAAGTCAATTTCTACATTTATCTCCACATTTCTTTCAGAGCAGGCATACAGAGTTTAAAAGTTCTGAACTGTAAGCCAAGTAACCTTCCACTCACTACTCACACAGCTCCCTGGAATGTACATCTCTTGAAACCAGTATTATTCCAACAGCAGCAGTTCGTATTTTAAAAGCTCAACTATTCCTTGAGTTTGCTATCGCTCTTTCGTTATGCCTAGGAGTACAGCCTCTAATGTAATATTTTACTTTCAGTTTCTCGCTATTTTTAAACTACAAAATACAGTAATCGTGTACATATTAAAATAGTAAAACGTAAGTAGTGTCTATTAATTATCATACTTTTTCTAAAGTTACTCCATAGTTTCAAATGAAATATTTGTATCTAACAGCTTTTAGGGTGTCCCATATCAAATCACCTGTGATACCTTTGACATCAGTGCTATTAGCAAGGCCTTGGGATTACAGGTTAACATTAGCAGTTAAATCACTGGAAAGCCCATAGAATTGTATTTTTCTCTTCATGTGCAGATGTAATAAAACCTAACTCACACACATGTACTAAGAGAATGAACACTTCTGAACTATTTGACTAGATTCATTTCATTGTTAGGGAATTCCTCCATCTATATTACCAAGATTAACAGGTGGCAATTTTAACAGGAAGCATTTTAAGAAGAGGGTATGATTTGGAAACAGTTAAAGAAATAGTTACCTGACTCTCCCACTAATAACGTATGTTTAGTGTATTCAATGACCTTTCGCGCGACACCAATTGCGTTTTTTACATGCCTGAGATCCGCAACTGCCCCAACTTCCATGGTGTTGCTGGAAACAAGAAATATTTAAAACATTAAAAACACAAGCAAAAATGTATATTTGTTTTGCATTAGACAAAACCTGTTCTCATCTACACTACAAAGCTTGCTCCTTCAATATATTGCTTTAATTGCTCTAAGCCATAGACAGATGGCATCACATTAGTAGCAAAAAAAAACTTCATGAAATATATTTTCTCCTTTCACGGGCATCGCGATATTGCTCAAGTAACAGTAACTCCATCCACAGTAATATTTTCAGTTAAGTATTTTGTTACATGAACTCTTGAACTGAACATTTGCAGTTACTTTTAACAGGGACACCTTTAAATGGTAAATAAAGTATACAAGACAATTGCTCCCAAAGCAAAATATTTATGGAATGAATCTAAAGGGAAAGCTTACAATGCTTTGTACAAACCATCTGCTTTGCAACTGCTCTATCTAGAGCTGGATTACTACACTACATGCAAAAATTCAATAACAGACATGCTTAGCTACTCTTCCACCAACGAGATAAACTTTATTACTAGTTTCACAAGTTAACATATAATTTCTTGCCATAGTCAGCCTCAAATCAACAAGATCTCTGTAACAACCCTTAAAGCGTGCTAAAAATCCCAGGGATCATTCTTTTCTCCACATAGCTTTCTTACCCATCCATAATCATGGCATCCAGTGTTGTTTCTCCACTTTCATCTGGGCTTCCTCCATATCCCACACTCCCATCACACTGGTCATTCTCACACTGACCACAGCCTTTTTCAACTGCATCCAGCTCAGAACCTCCCAACTGTAATACACTCCAAGCTGTAATTAACACAAATAATTGTCAATAGCAAAAACAGTCTCCACTACTGCTTTAAAGAATGTCTTAAAGATGGACATGATGGAGATGCGCTATGTAAGTAGATAAAAAAAGTAAACTGTAACTTACACCGAAGTAAAGTCAATATATAAATATATTCCAAGGAATGCAAAGCATTATTTTTTTAGATCCTGTTTTTTGCATATCTGATTAGTGTTTCTGACTGAGAAATCAAGCTTTTTTTTCCTGACTAGGGAGCATTATTTACTAACTACCATCACGACTTCTACATAATAAATACCCTCCTCTGCCCAGAACAAACCATTACTTTACTTTATCACTATTTAAAGCCTTTTGGGGGGAAGGGAGATGGGGAAGCAAAATTTTTATCAAAAAAAGAAAAGAAATTATAACAAGTAGCTCTCAAATTTTTCATATGAGAATATCAAGTGTCCAGCTGCAGAGTAAAAAAGATCTAAAACATACAGTGATGCAAAAGACCTAAACCTACATCACTAACTACATAAGAACAAAAATAATGCAGAGACAATATACAAGAAATTACAGTCTCTGTTTTTCTTGTTCAACCCTTAGTGTTCTGTTCTTTAGGATCTAGCTCACGGCACAAGTGCGTAAGACATTACAAACAGGCGAAACAACAGGACTGGAATAACCGGGCCTGAAGGCTTTGCACATGACACTTCAGAAGGATGGCCCTCGGGCAAGATTTTCCAAGATACCCGAGCTTGCTGCCATTGACAGCTGTAATCCTGCTTCCTCCTCTTTGTGCTGGTTCCGGTGCTCCATCACCTGCTGGACCGAGCACAGGGGAGGCACCAGAAGTATAGAGCCCAGCTCTTTTCAGCAGAACTATCTCAATACAGTCTCAACCATCTCAAAAAGCCTCATTCTCACAAATGCTGCGTGTAAGTGCCTGAAGCCGCCTGCACCAAGAAACAAGACTTAATATCTACCATCCAACTCCACATAGGTTTTTATTTATTATAAACTTCAGTGTGAGGAGTACTGCTCCAAATCCTACTACTTTTATTGTTGTGTGTAGCCTTAACACAAGCTTTCAAAAGCTGTAAAGCAATGGCTTTGCAGTTTCCACGAACGTATTTCACCTCTGACCTATAGAAGGCTTTACAGGTAATCCATTTCACTAGCAATGCTTCCTTCTCCTTCTCTGGAGACTTTCAAAACCCACCTGGACGCGTTCCTGTGTGGCTGCCCTAGGGGATCCTGCTCTGGCAGGGGGGTTGGACTAGATGATCTCTAGAGGTCCCTTCCAACCCCTGACATTCTATGATTCTATTTACTACCCAGCTGTGCCAAAACAGCCCGAGTCTTTTAAAATCGGTATCCACCACAAATTTATGCTGCCCCAGGAAAACCTGCTTTGACTATCAATAGCGCATCACGGAACAACACAGAGCTCCAAAAACGTGACAGTGAGAAATATCGAATCTTTCGGGGCAAGAACGAATCTCAGAAGGGGCACTGTTAAAAACAAGTCATCATTGTGAAATGCCACGAGAGCATAAAATGCGTAGTTAACTGGAGAATGCTTTTAATCTAGCTTTTCCACAGCTCATAACGTCTATTTTTATTATTAAAAAAAAACACCCCACAAAACATCCAAAATGCATTTTTCCCACTCTTGCAAGTTGAAA